AGGGGATTACATCGTTCTTCATTTGTTGAGCGGATTCGTCCAGCCAGAAGTCCTGAGCTACAGTAGCATCGTCAACTCCTTCGCCATCCTCTTGAGAATATCGAAATCAGATAGCTTGGTCGATATTATTACACTGTCGATGCGATCATGAAGCTTGGGCGTATGACATCAAGCCCTTGATTCTCTCTATCAAGTCGGAACATCTAAATTTTTTTCAATCCGCCGTAGTTATGGTCGTAGTTCTGGGGTGCACAGAATGGATTGACAGTGATGATTGCAATGGACCGGAGAAAGGTAGTAATTTGATCAAATGGTCTGGCCGAGTCGGGATATGGTCTCTAGAATATCAACCAGTTTTGGCCTGGGGTCTTTCGGCAGGTCGGCTAGGTCTAATGCTTTCAACAGATCGGCCAGTTGCTGTTTTAAGGAGGGCAGGACGGAGGTTTGCAATTGGAACAGGAGCGCTTTTCGATCATCGATTTCATCGGTTGACAGAGCTTCCCGTTTTCTATATCTGGCACGGTCATAGGTCCAAGTCGTTCCTTCTAGAGAAAAGAGTCCCGCAGGCGAGGCAACACAAAGGTCTCTCTCGTTGTATCTATTGACCAAGTTCTTCAGCTGCTCGCCAATCAGGTCTAGGTTATGAAAAGAGATTCCCACAATCCCAACTCAGCCTAACATTTCTTTTTTAACGAAAATTTGATTGGAGAAGGATGAAATGCAGTTAGATACCAATCGATTCATTCGGGCTAGTTTCACCATCCATCATCGCTTCGTTGGGGCGTTGGGGCGTTGCAGCGCTGAGCGTGAATGGGGTCAAAGGAAGAATGAATCGTCAAAAGAAGATGTATGCACTGTAATGCCGACCCAAATCAAGTCGAGAGTCGAGTCCAAGTCTGATCCCGCACTACACTCATGCTCCTTTAATGTTACAGTTTACAGTTTTGAATTTATTTTCATCTTTAGTTTTGAGCTTATGTTGTACATATAACAAACATGACCACCTTATCCCTTCTAAAAAAACTACATACAAAGATGTCATGCCAATCAATTTTTTTACAATGCGTAGAAAAGCATTTCTTCATACTATGATGCATAGGAATTCTCTATAAGTTTACAAGCTATCATTAAACTGACCACTTGTTCATGTTCGAACTGATTGGACACTTGCTATTCTAAAACATGGAAAAGGTTAGGTTGTTGATTGGAAAATAGTGGACAATGGATTGATTATGAGTTGCTCTCCTTTTCGAATTCAGATAGAGCTTTATCAAAAATTTTAGTAGCCAAGGAGAATTGTTCACTTAATCCAAGAGACCAAGTTTTGATGAGATCTCCAGATGCAGGAAGATCCAGCTCTATATCAGTTGAAGGAACTAGATACAAACACAGCAAAGCTATGGAAGAATCAAAATCCTTCGAGAGTCGCTCCTGCAACATCTTGACGTTCTCTAGCTGATCCATAATCTGGTCAGAATGATACCCATAGTGCAAGCTGTTTAGGATACTGCGAATAGTGTAATTGAGCGAGCTGAGGTTACTCTGCACCGATTGGATGTCCATCGAACTCATCTTAGAATCGATCGTGAACGGTATTCTACTTATTGGGTTCGATAGCTTGTTGAGTAAGATTCTGACCAATTTGATCACTGGGATGATTGATTGGGTAAGCTTCATGAATCTTAAAAAGGATTCTTCAGAGGAGCACGTCGAGCAGTTGGTATCCGATTGATTATCTTCGTGATCGATCAAAGAGTTAGCATCGGATTGGGTGTCTTCATGGTTATTCGAATTAAAATCCATTTCAGCTGAATCGGTGTTGATAGAATGATTTTGATCGACGGTGGCTTTGTAGTATTTAGATTCCGGTCGACCAACATCAATTAGAAGACATTCCTCTTCATCTGCTGGATTGATTTTTACGGTAATACTTTTCAGAAGATTATTAAGGTCATTTGAATAGTTTCGCCATTCGTCTTGGAGAATATTGAAGTCAGATCGCTTGGACGATTTGATGATTGTGTCGATGTAGTCCGAAGATCGGGCTATTCCTTCAATCAGCTGCTCCCTGTGGGTGATTAGATCTGATCGATCGTTCAACCAAATCGGATGGTCCTTCGATCGCTTTAGAATGCCTGGGATATGACGCTGGAATAATATCCAGATATGATGGCTCATCAGACGATTGATTTTCTCCATTAATGGGCGATATCTGAAGTATTTCACACCACCGTAATCGTGGTCGTGTTCTGAAGAGTTACGGTTGCCAGCAATGGAATACAGGAAGCCATTGATTTGATTGAAGCTCTGGCCGATCTGGGATACAATTTCCAGGACATCAAGAAGGTTTGGCCTGGGTTCTTTCGACGGGTCGGCTAGGTCTAATGACTTCAACAGATCGGCCAGTTGATGTTTTAATGAGGGTAGAATGCGCGTTTCTAATTGAAGTAGGAGAGCTTTTTGATCCTTGATTTTATCGGGTGACAGGCCTTTCCATCTGCCCAATCTAACATCATCATGGTCCCGTGTCGAGTCATCAGCATTAAGGGGTAGACTGCTCTTGGGAGCAAGAAGGTCTCTGCAATTCCATTTTGTAAGCAAAATGGATAGCCCCTTGACGATTTGATCTAAAAAAAGGTGATTCAAAGTCTGATGTCATTATTTTTATTTTTTATTTGCTCGAAGTCGGATGGAATGTAGTGATTAGTTACCAATTATGTCATTTTGATTTGGTTCATGATTTAACATTGCAAGTTTCGCTCTTGTCGTGGATTAATCGAGGTTCTGATCACGAATGATGATGACAGGGGTGGAACGAAAGGTTAAGATGAATGAAGTCAGGTGGGGGACTTCCCGTCGATTGTGTGCAGAAGGTAATCTGAGTGGGGATTCGGTCTCTTAGTTATCGTACGTGTGAACGGACCACTCCTAGGATGAGCCGGCTGCATGAGATGACAACGATATGAGTGCAAGTCAGTGAGGAAAAGCGAGACAGATGAGATGAAAATAAGAGACTCACATGTAAGTCAGCACTTGCAGTTGAAAGTGATGATAAAGCTGATGTTGAGGCGCTGAGACGTGTCGAAGTGAAAACAGATGAATGGATTGCAATGAGAAAGAAGAGGAATAAATCAAAACCGAGAATCGAATCATCCCAAATGATAGAGTACAGTTAGTGGACACATTTGGTAGTCTTGGATGGGAAAGATCATCAGATGAGCGCATGGGATTTGCCAAAAATGCCTCAAACATTCCAAAATTAATTTTTAGCTCATTAGCCCGGTTCACGTAGGGCGTTTTTATGACATGTGTGAAAAGTCACACTGCTCGTCGCTTAAATTGTTTTGCTTAAATTGTGCGTGGGACCCCGCCAAAATTTTAACGAGATGTCGTTAAGCATTGCTCGTCGCAGAAATTTTATTTGTGGACGAGCACCTACGTGAACCGGGCTATTTGAGGCATTTTTATTTTATGGCTAAAATAGCTCATTTTGGCCTAATTTTTACACCTGAGTCATTTTGTAAAAAAGCCTCAGGGAAATTGATCTATTTTCCACCACCCAAATTGCCATTTTTTCCTGGGTCAAAACTGGTATTAGGGGGTATCAAATATGGAAAATTTGAAATCTTAAAACCTCATTATCTGTCAAACCAAACCACCTTTTTTGATGGATGTATTTTGGAAAGAAGCACATATTTGCCTTCCAAATTCATCACAGCACACCTTGCAAAAAAACTTTTTAGTTCAAGAGTAAATGGAGTTTTAATTTTTCAAATTTATTATATTTGATACCCCCTATTGTTTGTAGTGTGGGTGCTTAATGCTTTTTCCAAAAAGAACAGTGGCACACAACCTGGCAGGCCCATGATTGATGCATTTCTCCTAAGTTACACCCCCACAAGGGAGTTCTTTGTTATATCAGCAATGTAACTGATGTGATGCATGCATAGGTATCACATTGTATTGGGCCTGTATCACATCGCATTGAGAGAGCAATGCTGGGCCCCACATCACATCACTTGGGGCGCGTACCACAGCGCATCCCGATTTGAAAATTGTTTTTGGACCGTTTTTTTTTTCTGCGCTTTTTTTAAAACGGTATCAGAAACTGCTGGGTCTGAAAATGTGTACCACAATACAGCTATTCCTGACCGCTATCTTCTTCTCCATCTCATTCACACCTGCACGACCTCGGCTTTGTCGCAGCAAATTCCAATATTCTCCATCTCATCACTCCCCCATGCCTTCGCATTCGCCTCAGCAAATTCCTCCTTGCCAATTTGCTTCAACATGTCATCCAAGATCTTGTCTGCAGCATCCGAATTAATACTCTTGATCTCAGCTGCTGCTGCTGCCGCTACGATACTCATCTTGGATTACTATTATTCCGATGGCTCTCCTTATTATGGCGACGGTGGACAGGCAACATACGTGCAATTCCTATTGAATGTAGCCCGGCCAGAACTCTTCCGCGAGATCACTGGAATCAAACAAACCACCTTTGATCGGCTAGTTCTGGAATTTGAAGAAGCAGCGCTCCTTGGAGATGGACGATCTGTGACCGTCGAAGAACAGGTCCTCATGTTTCTTGATATTACTCGCTACAACAACTCCATGCGTCAAACCGCAGTGAAGTTCCGACGTGGATTATATACAGTCAATCGGTAAGTTGTAAATATCATATATCCTTTTGCTTTTATTTCTTGGATTGATGGTTTTCCAAACAGATACTTTGAAGAGGTGCTCGAGGCCCTTGTCATGTTATACCCGCAATACGTCAAGTTTGACTCAACAATGACAGCCCTCCATGACTGCATCAAGCGTAATCCTAAAATGGCGGCTTTCAAAAACTGTCTTGGGGCTATTGATGGTGTGCTCATCCCAGCACATGTCCCAGCAAACATCCAATCCACCTGGCGTTGCCGGAAGGGGCTTTTATGTCAGAATGTTTTGGCGGCTGTTAACTTTGACTTTGAATTCGTATACATCCTTTCTGGATGGGAAGGCAGCGCACACGATACTCGCGTTTTTAACGATGCGACATCCAAGAAGTTGAAGATTCCGGCTAAGAAATATTTTGTTGCGGACGCCGGCTATGGGTTACAGCCTGGCTTGATGACTCCCTATCGAGCAGTTTGATATCATCTCAAAGAACAAGCGGCCGCCGGTCTACGTCCAGCAAACCCAAAGGAGCTCTACAATCTTTGACATGCTTCCCTGCGAAACATACACCACAGGTCGTGAGCGACGTTGAGCCCACATCACCCGTTTCGTCGGCCTCACTCGTCTGACCCCGCCCAAAAAAATGGCAGGGCTAAGAGCGGGAGGTGTCGGATGCCGATGTCAGCCCAACTTGTGATGTGGGCCTCTCGTCGGATCATGTTGTGGGCATGACCGCGACGGATGGTCATGCCGTGGGCCTGACTTCCAACAAGAAGGAGACGTCAGCGGCCCCTCGTTGGTGTAACGGGTTGCAAAGAAGTTGGGAGGCTCGGTCTTGAAAAAGAGTTCTGCTCCCTTGGATCGAACCTGCTACCTACACCCATGCTGGTGCTGGGCAAGCCTGATGATTGGAGCAGATCATGCAGACATCAATCAACAAGGGAACGTAATTACCGCTACACATGATCGTTCTTCCCTGCGAACGCATTAGCAGCTATATTAACTAGAATTCCATTAAATCTTCGTCAGAAATGTGGCATTTCCGTTGAAGACATTGGTTTTTTTATTTTATTTTTTTACATTTTGAAACACAGGTAGCCCCTTTCTTGCATGGAAAGAGGCCCAGAAAACTCATTTTTAGAAAAGGTTTTTTTTTAAAAAGCCTATCCAAGTCATGCCAACGAAATCGGGCATGACATGATCCCCACCGGCGCTGAGCTGAAGCCCAACACACAGCCATCATCGGTATCATCACCGCATGTTCGTGTCGGGCCTGCCTTTGGATCACGGCAGATGATCCTGATGTCAAGACATCAGGATCATTCACGGTGATCCAAAGGTCGGCCCGACCTCAATTTCATGACAGCCCACAACCGCCGTCAGGTCCAGGGAAGACAGGTCATTGCCGACCCGTGCCAACCCAATCTCAACTGCGCTGTGGGCCTGTCGAGCAGGAATGGAAATTATCGACCTGTGGTGTAGTGGAGCGACTGTTTGGTGTATTTAAGAAAAAGTATACAATTCTTAAGAGTCCACCAGAAATTGATCTGTCTAAACAAATAAGGTTGGTCTACTCGCTGTGTGTACTATGGAACTTTATCCAAAAAAACGAATAAATCAGCTCCCTTATGGAAGAGTTGAAGGAAGCCTCTGAGGAATCAAGCGACACACCAATCTTGACCAATACAGTCTATTCCCCGGCTGTTGAGGATGCGCGCATGAAGATACGGCGTGATTGAGTACATTTCTTACACCAGCCAGAAGTGATAGTTTCTCGCTTGTACATTTTTCTTTATGTTTTTCATTTTTTTTGTCATTTCTTGCATTGAGTCTTGTTGCCTTGTTGGACAACATGGCCTCAATCGGCTTTTTATGTTATTGAGCTAGACAATTGGAACAGTGCAATGACAATCAATGAGGCTTGTTTAGTCGCATTGAGCTTCCTGATTACACCTGGCATTGCTTGGCCATTTATCTTAGTGAGTGAGAGCATTGGAAGAACAAAAATCAGTGATTGCTGTTTGGTGGTTTATCTAAAAGAGAACACTTGGCCATGTTGCGCTGTTTAGATTATTTAGAGAAGAGAAAGAAGAAAGAAAAACTATTTTGTGTGATCTTAGCTCGCACTACTGTTTGGAGAAGAGAAAGAACAAGATATTTTGTGTGGTCATAGCTCGCACTCGGCTGTCCTAATATTTGTCTAATTGGAAAACTGAACAAGCATGTAATCATAGATCAGAGAGAGAGACACAGATTACACAATCAAAGTGACTGCAAAAGCAAAACAGAGAGGAGAGTAAGTTGATGAAAGGCCTGAAAATGGTATGATCTGATGATAAAGGAATGACTTGCCTAATGACCGTTTACTTCACAATCAAGCCACATCTCGCAAATTTTTTGTGAGCTCGTTTGAGCTAGGGATAAGAATGTTGTCGCCTTTTTGTCGTCTTCAAGAACCCAAACGTAGCAAATGTATTTTTCATCATCAACTTTGTTGAGGAAATACAAAGACAAAAGTTTGAGAGCTTGTGCATTGAGGGAATCTTGATTTGAAGAAGTTGTTCCGTTTGGTTGATCGTCTTTCGAAGAAGTCCCCTCTTTGTTAAGATTAGCAATGGTGTTACTGGCATTGTTGATAGCCCCAACTAAGCCTTCAATGCCCTTGGTCTCCCAGACACGCTTTGTAGAGGTCGACTCGCTTTGCTTCTTTGAAACTCAAACATTGCTATCAGAGTCGGAAGAACTTGAGACCACGATATCCTTCTTCTTTTGACTCTTTCTCTTTTTCGAAGTTGGAGTTGGATTGGTCAAATTAGCCTCAGGGTTTGAGTCATTGGGGACCTTAACAGGAACTTCGTCTGGCGGCACGTGTTTATTGACACTCTTGCCAGTCGCAAAATTCCCAACAAATACACGTTCGGCCAGATCATAGATTGGAAACGGCTTATCTTTCAGCTTGCCAAAATTGCGTCTTGGATGAGCTTGAATGAGCTCGTCCCAGGTCCCTTGATCGGCTGTGACAGTGAATTTTCCAAAGCCCGATTGTTCACAGAGGAACTTGTAGTCAAAAAAGAGGGATCGGATTGCGTTCTTCTGGTTCTTGATTTGATCGCAAGTGAGTTTTAAGTTTAAATAGTCATCAAGCCCATTCATTACCCCCGTCCAACCTTCTTTTTTCAAGTTACCATTATCGGTCGCATGTCTCGCGGACATTTCATCATAGAGCAGTTCCAGAATTTTACATTTCTCAAGGGTAGACCAAGTGTGCGGAGCATTCCCATCGGATGTTGCAGATTATTGGAGAGATTTTGAGTTGATTGCCGGTGATTTGGAGGTCATTGCTGGGGTCTTTGGGGTTGCAGATTGTTTTGGGGTGGTTGCCAATGGTTTTGGGGTGGTTGAAGAAGCCTTTGAGTTCATTTTTGCTGTATTGGTAGGTGGTTGTCTTCTTTTTGAGGCCTCGTCTTCTGGGGAAAGCCGCAGTGGAGGTGGTAGTGGTGGCAGTTGATCATCCGACCCATCGGACGGTGTGGTAAGCCACTCCTGAAAATTCAAAGTTATCAAGAGTACAAATCACAGAGGAAGCACAGGACCAAGACACCCCAGAAAGCTCCCCAGACCCCCAAAACCAATCATGAATCCCCTCAAGCACAGACCACATGGATAAAAATATTTCCCAGCAGAAACTCCACAGCCCTGAAACTCATTCCCCTCCAAACTGTTGGAATGTGATTCCTGGTCTTTGCCCTCAAAAGAGGAGAGTATCAGGTTAGTTTATCATATGCTTGATAAAATTCCTGAAAAATAATAATAATCATCGCGCTGATCAACTATTTGTGATCATTTGCAGAAATAAGCTGTTCAATGAATGAACAAGAAAGAAACAAGCTCTCAGCTTGTGAATCGAGCAATGATGTCATTGACATCATGAGCAGAGAGAATAATGATGATCATGATCAATCGTCGAGCTCTTAGTGAGTCTTGATTGATTGTATCAGAGAAGCAAGATAGAGAACAAAGTCATTGATCAAGTTCCACTTCTTTGCTCACACAAAAATCATCCTTATTTTTCTTAGTTCGCACTCGCACAAGTCTAAAGTACAAAAACTCATCAATCGAATATTTCCACCTATAGTCGGTGAGTATAGAATAAACCTCGAATGCCTTTTTCTTAAAGAAAAAGAGAAATTAACAATTTGCTGAGTTATTCTCAATCCCGACAAAACTGCAATAGACTCTTCAGGCGATTAGCTTGATACAGCTGTTACGCAAACAAGCGATATATTTAAATCTATCAAAGTATAGTATTCCTTTATAATTAAGCAATAAGAGCAATGAACAACTTAGGCTAATAACGTAATCTTCTTCTGATAATTTATTCTGTTTCTATAACAGTTATCTAAATATTATCTTAAATTATCCGAAGTTATTTTCATTCTCATTTTCATCAAGCCTTATTATTATCAGAAAATATCAGATCAGTTCTGCCTTCAGGTATCGCTCTTATCTCTTTAACATCTTTCATCAAATTAATCATTTGTATTTTATTAAAAAGATTATTTACTTATAAAAGAAATGATACTTCAGTTTCAAATTCTTTCAGATTTACAGTCTCGAGGCGCTCAATCACGACTCAGTTCTTTCGTTTTTGAACATCTTCGAAGGCAGAGCTAAAATCTGATCAAGTCACACGATGGAAGCTTTCTCTCGAAAAGAAGCCATGGACGATAAAGGAATCACATCAATTCCTAAATTACAAGGCGATAATTATTCCATTTGGGAATCAAAGATGCAATACTTCCTTGATTCTCGACAACTTCTCGATGTTTGTCTTCACGAGCAATCGTCTCCACCAACTGATCTTATTGCCGCGAAGCACTCTTGTGCATTATTTCACCTTAGTTCCGTGGTCGACGATTCAATTTATAACTCAGTATTTAAATTGTCTTCGAATATTACTCCCTACAGCGTTTGGACGGCTTTAAAGAAGGAATACGCCTCCAAGACTATCTTTTCCTTATGCAAAGTTTGGCGAACTTGGGACACCATTCATTGCGATCAAGGTCTTGTTTCTTATGTCGACCGTTGTTTGGAATGCCTCGGAGAATTCAAGACGATCGGCTATGACGTTACTCAGGATCTCTTCGCTGTTTGTATAATAAGTCGAGTTACAACAATTAAACAAGAACTCATGGAAAGTTTGATGCTAGACGAAAAACTGGTTTCCGATGCATTTCGATTACTCGACAGATTAAGAACTCTAGCAGTCCATGAACAAACGATGAAACCCAATAAATCATCAGTTGCTTCAACTTCCGCTTTGCCTATGGAGTCTCGAGTAAAACGACCTTATGAGCACCCTTGCGAGCATGGTCATGATCCAAAACAGAAGCATAGTCAGAAAAATTGTTGGTACGACCATCCTGAAAAGAAGCCGAAAAGATTTCAAACCAATTATCAATCTGCTAAAGCTACTGTTGCGCAAGTCTCTCGTACGAACAATGTGCAACCACAATCTTCAAGCAGTAATGATAATAATGAGAACGCAGTACCCGCCTTTAGTTACTGCAGCACTGTCAAGACGTTTTCTGAAACTAAGCTTGGAGCTATACTCGACTCAGGAGCAAGCAACCATATGTTCAACTCTTTAGATTTCTTTGTCAACACCGAACCAGTTTCTATATTTATAATTACTGGCGATGGAAAATCTAGGGAAGAACTCGTTGCTACTCGAAAAGGAACAGCTTTTATTCAATTAACTGATAACAAAGTTATTACTCTTGAAAATTCACTCTTTGTTCCTAATCTTACTCGAAATCTGGTATCTTTCTCACAACTTATTGATAACACTGTCTCAATCCAACGCACCGGAAAACTCTTTGAAGTCATTTCAAACAATCACGAAAAGCTTTTCTCTCTTGATTTATCCAATCAACTTTTCAAAATTTACGGTGACGTTTCTCCTGTTCATCAGCAAACAATAGCCATGCTAAATCTATCACTCGAGCCTACTGGATTTACTAAATGGCATAATCGACTTGGTCACGCTAGCAAGGATCGATTAAAAGTTGTTATACCATTGAACGAGAATTTGATAAAGGAGAACTGCTGCGATTCTTGTATGAAGGGCAAGATGGTTCGAAAAAGTTTTAAACATCATTTCGACTCTACTTCTTCCGCTCTCGAAGTTGTTCACGGCGATTTGGTTGGACCAATTACACCTTCTTCTAATGGTGGTGCTTGTTACTTTCTAACTCTAGTCGATCAGCATACCGGTGTGGTGGCGGGAGCGCGCCTTGGCCGGTTTGTTTGGGGCATGCGGAATGCTCGCGGCGCTGATGCGGAAAGCACGCGGAGCTGACGCTACACAAGCGGGCTGAGGAAAGCGGCCGTGCATTAGTGGGAAGTCTAGCTTTCCGAGGCGCGGGAAAGCGGAGAAAGGTAGACCGAATGCACAAGGTTCCAAAAAGCTTACTGCGGGGAATTCGGGCATCGGCGGACGCCGGGGATCACGGCCGACTGCGGAACGGGGGTTCAGTGTATACTGCGGAGGGGCTACAAAGAGCGGGGAGCACCGAGGGGCAGAAGCGGGGTTCGGAGCGGACCAGAGGCGGAAGCGGCGGTGGGAGACCTGCTTAGGAGCGGCCGGAGGAGTACTTGGACCGACAGGCGTCGGAGGGGTGACATGCGGAGTCCGAGGGGGTGGCAGCGGATGACATCGCGGGAAGTAGGAAGGGACTGGAGTGTGGGATACCTAGGAGGAGAGGAGTTCGAGGCAGAAGAGGAGAGAGAGGGGGGGAAAGGGGGACTCAGAACAGATCAGAAAAACAGAGTGACTTAGGAGTGAATCGTGTATTAGCCTAAAGAATTGTTAGAGATAGAGTAGAGTTAGTGTATTACCTACAAAAGATCAATAAAAGAGAACTAGTTTACCTACCTACAAGACCATCAAGCAAGTTACCCCGGACAACAAAACCGGAGTAGGACGCGTTGCGGAGCGGAGAAGTGCAAGAAAACTCCTAGGGCGCGCCGTGCTTTCCACAAATTGGGGGTCTGGCCGGGAAACAACTTCCTTGGTCGAACGGTACGAAGAATAGTGGATGAGCTTTCCGGGACAGTTTTTCACACCGGCGTACCACAACATCGAAAACGAGCGAGCGTGGAACGATTCTTCTGATCCTTCTGATAGCGACGGAAGCGGGAGTACGGTTCGGGAAAATCAACCGAGTGCGGAGGATAAGGGGAAACAACGGGCCGAGACATTGGACGACCTGATTGCCGAGGGACGTAATTTGGTCGAGCAAGTCCAGAAGAACGGGGTCATTGGATCAGAAGTGGCGGAAAAGGTTAAGCTTTTCGAAGGACAGGCTTCGGGATCGAGCAAGAAGGTCGGAACTTACGGAGTACCGAGCGAAGGTTCCGAGGAAAGGATGAACGTGGATGACCCAGCGCCGCCGCGGTCCTTGGGTCCGCTGAAGGCGAAGGTACGTCCGAAGGACTATCCAAACATTCGGTTCAGTACTACCGAAGTGTCGAGGTTTCTGGAGCGTTTCGAGGCTGCGGCGGATGGGGAGGGAGCGGAGGACTCGGATAAGGTTCGACAGGTGGTCAACTTTATCCAGGATGAAGAGGCGTTGCGGGATGTGGAGGATATGGATGGGTACGAGAGGAAGGATTGGGCGGAGTTGAAGGAGATGCTGGAGAAGTGGGGCCAAAGCGAGCAAAGGTATCGGGAGGCGGATCTGGATAGGCTCGCGGCGGAGGTGGCGGAGGAAGGTGGCGTTCAGACGAGGGAGCAGTACGGGAAGTACGTCTCTTCGTTCGATCGGATTCTGAAGTATCTGAATCGGAACGGGATCGTCACCGGTACTCCGGGAGCGGTGAAGCGGACCTTCATCAAGGCTTTTCCGAAGGAGATGCGGGAGCGGGCGCTCCGACAGCTTTACGATCGGAACTTGGTGAATAGGTCTAAGGATGGGGGTGTGATCGTTTTGCCCGACATGAAGGAGATCCGTAAGGCACTTCAGGGCGAGATGGACATGCAGGAGTTGGTGGAGGATGGGATAGAAGCAAGGGGCTCGGGATCGGCTAAGAGCAAGGAGCCGGTGACTGCGAAGGAGGTCGGTGAACTGGCGGATACGCTCAAGGAGCTACGCCTGTTCATGCAGAAGACAGTGACCCAGTCCTGGAGCCGTCGGCGGGTCGTGCGGGAG